AAGGTTGAACAGATTGCGTTACGGTTGAAATCAATCGAGAAGTGGTATAGTTCTGGTGTCAATATACAGTTTCTCTGGCTCGGAGAGAAAGCGCAAGGAAACAAAACAAGAAATAGGCGGGACAGTTTGTTATCATTGTAGAGTGAAAACAAGTATGGGATACACAAGGGAATGGTATTAACAAAAGTAAAGGAGGACAGCAACAACAAACAGTGGCACATCAGCATCTTGCAGTGGTGTCTTGCTAACAAGATAAAGCAACTTTGTGCCAGGCAGAGGGATTAGGGCCATCAAGTAGACTTGTGGGGGTAAAATCCCAACAGCAAAGTAAAGGGAAATAGTCCGCAAAATGAACTATCGGCAGAGATGGGGGTCATCCTGACTCTCAGATGACTAAGAGATGGAGTTTTTGACTCCCAACTAGTGAGCAATCTGGTCGCATCGGATCTTTAATGACCAGAAAAAATATCCGCGGCAGTTCAGTGTATCAGAGAAATACACAAAGCACGGGAATCGTTGGTATCCAGCCTAGTAGAGACCGGAAGAGGCACGCCTTGTAGACCCAAAAGTAAAGACCTAACGGAAAAAACAAATGAATGGTGACGACCAGCAAGTAGCCCTGGTAGAAGGGCATACAGGTTACCACATACGTCCTTCCCAAACGTAACCAAGCGTAGCGTTTCGGGTATTTGTGTGAGCTGAGGTTTCGGTGCACACAAAGGAGCTCGAAATGCGATTCCACAGAGTAGAACCGGCTAACCAATTTGAGCGGAAAAACGCACCACCATCACCAGCCTAGTGCTTCCTTGAGCATCTCAGGTTTTCATACCGAGGAAGCCAAGCATCACATACCGCACTGCACTTTGAATGTGCGAATCGCATGCTAGGTGCTGAGGGTTAACTGTCTTTCAACAGTTTATGAACAGACGTTGAGCCATGAGAAATTACGAAGATCGAAAGAAAACAGTTGGTGCAAAACGAAAGTCGAATGCAACATAGAGCGACCTATGGATTCTTCAGAGGTTGCGGTACTACTCAGTCGCCCAAGCTGTAATAGTGAGTTGACTAAGGGGGGGGGCACCACCCCGAGTCATTGGTGGAATAACGTACCCGTAAGACAGAAGAGTGGCGCTAGAAAATCGAGTTCATTGAAAGAGGGTGACCGGTTTCTCAATTCCTACGCTTTAAATTGGATGTGTTGCCAGAAGGGAGGTTAATGCAATTACTCCCATCCTCTGGAATACAACGCCTCAGAGAGGAAACACAGTAGTGGCGAGTAACATCCGCCAGGTCGCGGTATTGTTAGACGAATATTTGTGGCTTTTAAGAAAAATACTTACCAAAATAAAAGCAATTATAGACAGAAACAATGGCACGGAAGTATTTGCGGAATCTGGATAAATCCGAATCACCCAGCCGGCACCACGATGAGATAGTTAAGCAAGTCAGCCAGGGTTAACTTTGCCGCATCCCGGTTGTCAAAAGGCAAAACGGATCTACCGCATAGCCCAGAGCAACTAACCGTCAATCAAGCAGCGCCCTATCACCTGTACCGTGACATATTACAAATGAACAACTCGTTATGAAGTCCACGGTAAAATTGAATCTACGTGGAGAAACAAGACAACTCTAGTGAATAAAAGCTGTCGGAAAGGTGTCCCAAAAATTTCCGTAGCCCTGATGCGAAATGTGATGTTCGAGTGCATGATATACAAAAGGCATGTATAATAAAGCTTTTGACAAAGTGTGTCGAATAGAACGCTAAGACCGACCAGGTCACAAGGCGTTTCGGACTTGAGGAAAGTAGTCACTGTGGTTTTATCGCATATATGATGCCACGCTAACATCTATAGCAGAATCGAAGTGTGATCTATGCAATCCCACCCCTGTTAGACCACCTGTTCTACTTGCATGCGGAATCCTTCCGCAATAAGCTTATGAGCTGGAATGAAGACCAACAACTTGTTTCCTCCCAGAGTTAAGCTGAAACCCACTGGGTTTACACATGGGTCGCAGCTACCACTGTTGAATATTGTCAATGTGAGTGATATGACCCAGTTAATGGTAATAGTCTTCTTACTCTGTACCTGTTTGAGCAAGCGGGTCAACTCATTGCAGTGGACCTTACCACGATCTTGTCTACAAGTTGAAGAAAGGACAACACCCCTGCCTTGTAATCCAGAGGTTATCGGTTCCAATCAGCTTAGGTGCGGCCGACCTAGCGGTATACTCAGCAGGAGCGTGACTGTGAGTGGCAGAAAAGCGTCGGCACGATGTACTGGGGTACTTCTAACGCAGTTTGCACGCCCAACACGACATTAAGATACCGAGAGCACTATAGATCAGGGACCAGCAGTGCGAAAACGGTCGCAGCTTGCAAGGACATTAGCGCGTTCAAACCATTTTTGCAGCGTGCTCTCATAGAATTCGGATCCCTCGGACCGACTGGTCTTGGTGTTCTCATTTGCTGGTGGGTTGAACTGGTTGGGGGCGGCACAGCAGATTCAGGCAGGTTATCCGTAAAGTCAGCGGAAACCACAACACACTTTTGGCAACGGTCAGCTGCATGGTGGTAGCAGGTTAGCCGTACATTCAGCGGCACCACAACAGATTTCTGGAGACGGAGGTGGGATACCGATTCAAGATGGCTATCTCAACAGAAGAGCTAAAAGTTAATTTGCTTTAACAGTAGCAACCATTCGAGGCCTCACAGCTGCGTATGATCGAGACTTTCACTCGGACACTGTCAATCCAGTATACAGTCATCGCTTGGGAGCAAATGCAGACGCTCCTTCAGGTCTAGCAGTCAATGTTTGAGGAATCACGGCGGCAACTGGCAGAGCTACTGACATAATAGTTGAAAATTCAAGCAGAACGTGAACTGGGACTAGAACTCACATCAGAGCGCTTTGCAGGTGAAAGTTACAAAGTTACCGAAAGGTTGAAAATTCAAATGCTAGATGTAAACTCAAGATCCGCCACACAGCTAATGGAGGCCACAATGTGAATCAAAACGAAATGAGAACACCAAAACCAGTCGGTACGAGGAATCCGGATTCGGATTCGATGAGAGCATGGTGCAATAAATAGGTTGTGGGAAACCACTAACATATTTCTGGCAACGGTCAGCTGCACGGTAGCAGCCACAACAATTTTGAACGTTCGTAAAGGTGTAAGACAATAACTCACTGGCAGAAAATTCCTACATAGTGACAGAGATTTATGTGCTGGCATGGTGCCAAAAGGACAAAGATACAAGAGATAGCTAAAGTCAAATGAAACTTACTTTCATGAAGAACAAAAACACACCATTGTAAACCTCAATGGCACGGTCGTTCAAGATTATGCTGGTAGGCCACTGGGCGTCATAGACCAACTTGATATGGTTGAACGATTCGAGGATATTACCCAGCAAAGACGGAATGGATGTGGATCTTGAAGTCGACACAAAAGTGAACGCAGTACTCTCACTAGACATAAAGGACGGGACCAATTTGGGACCAAACTGAGAGCGCAAACACAAAGTGAGGCCAGCAAGATCTAGGTACCATGGCTCCAAAACCTTAATGCTACTAAATAAGTGACGTGCGAAGTCGTTCATGCGATCTCCAGCTCCGAATAGGTAAACAGTGCCGACAGCAGCCAATGCGTCTCCGAGGCTTCGAAAGCCAAAATTCGTTAACGGAGAAGTAGCAATCAGGAGATTGACTAGATGCCGATTCAACAATGCGCAACGAGTGCGAACAAAGGTTTTCAATGTCGTTTGTAAACTTTCTAATGTGGGTGTGCGTGACTGCCTTTCATTGCCCAAAAAAGCTGTATCCATCGCATCTGTTGATCCATAGCAAAGTACAGAGGCTAGTAATTCAGTCCGTAGATTGGTGTGAACAATCGGATTAGTGGATAACCTCACGTTTGAAACAGTAGTTGGTAGATGTTTGTCATTGTTGAACAGAGATTTCGTGATGGTTGACAAAATAGTCGCTGGTTCGATAGCTACAGATTTTAGAAGATCAAGATGTGGAGCATGTTCAGAGAGAGCCGTAAGAACACATAAGGCCCTTAAAGCACTAACCAGCTCACTGAGAACCGGGAGGAAGAAGCGTGGGGTCTGAGCTAGAGGAAACGAAGTGCCGGAGGTTGCTGAGTGAAGAAACGTCTGTTTCCAAAAGGCCGGATCAGCTAAATTAGTGTCAGATTCTGTCTTAATGAATAAACAGCTGATACAATCATGAAAAGAAACATGTCCCGAGAGCAAATGAATTGTGGAGAAGAGATAAGGAAAGAAAGCACGAAAAAATGAGGTCGTGAGCAACTCTAGAAGAGAAGCATCGGTACAACAGTCAGAAAATGAAATGTTTGCATGATACAATAGGTCCAAAAGATAAATGTGTGCACCACCTTCCATTAACCTGCTCACATATCCAGCGGTTAACTGAGTAAGCAGAGTTGCAAGTATGTTTGCGCGACGACTCCAAGAAAGCAAAGAGAAGTGGAGTTTAGTAAGAGTGAAGTTATGGGGACCTCGAGATCGACTCTGTAAGATCTGCAAGTAACGGGCGAAATCTGCCAAATAATCGTCCAAACACATTCCGAAAGCAAGGATACAGGGGTGAACTATGGCAGCCGATTGAGCAATAAATTGAATACAAACATGCAAAATTAGATTATTGGTCGCAAAGCGAGCGAATATGTTCAACAACGAGTCCAGGGTGGTGTAAGGAAGGCTAGCTAAACTGGCTCGTTTGGATGTAACGACACGATTGTTGAGCAATTTTTCAGGGTCGTAAAGCACCCGGAAAATATAGGAGGAACGAGCCCCGAGTAAAGACCAGATGACTTCACGAACAATTTGGTATTCCGTTAACTCATTGCGATCATCTGCAAGGCCATTGTATGCGAGCCACAACTGTTTAAAACAGCTGGTAGAGGAAATGTTGTTGCGCCACCAGTACTCCGGTTGCAACTCGCTTACGATACGGTCATAAGAAAGGATAAAAGAGACGCGAGACTCTGCGGAACGGTGCACTTTCACGAAGTCCCAATGACGAGGAAATGCTTCAGCCGCTGTACCGCACAGTTGAAGATGTACCGAATTACCAGATTCCTCTCCATCTGAAGACGATGAATGCGGCCGCATCAGATGACGCCAAACTGGAAAATATAAGCCGTAAGATAAATAAAAAGATTAGGCCCAGGCAGCATTCCAACGAATAGAGGTTAGGTACGAGATACCAGAAACACAGTGAGCCCAAGTATGGGATACAGAGGTAAAACGCGCATAACAGTTCAGTTTAGTTGAACTAGGATCAGGGAACTGAAGTGCGGTGGATCCAGTTGTCACTACTCGCGTCGCCAGAATAGCAACAACTAACAACGGCAAGAAAATGAGGTTGTGCAAATAGAATGCAGCATGGAATCAAGGAAGAAGTGCGTTAGGCTGATTGGGATAGAATGAAAATCAACAGCCAGATGCGAGAAATCGAATGTAGGAACAACACTGATTGCACGACTGCGTCATGTATACTAGGGGCACCAACATCATCATTATGCATGTTAGCTGCAGGTGGAAAACACCTCAGCTATTGTGCCACAATACAAAAGACAAGAAAAAGAAAACAGTGGCACGCCGGCTGAGTCCCCATTAACGGACGGGCATCGTTCCGGAGAGCTAACAGCTGGCTATCGTGCCGTAAAAAGAGTTATATTATGCCTAAAGAGTGAGATCGTGATTGGAGGGGGATGCTAAGCAGGAAGGGGATGGACAAAGAAACTCACAACACAAACGCCATTGGGGCCGGCTCCAAGCCATAGCAGCAAGTGTGTCCAGCCAAACGTGTTCATCGTCCTTAGGACCCCAGCCAGGCGGTCAGGATGCACCAACCGACGCCAACTTCGAAGTGAGGGATTTCAACTCTCTCGACCAAGTCATCGCTTGGCCTCCCCTCCTCCTCTTCCAACCGCACCCACAACGCGCAAACAATGCATGTTGCGGAAGTCGGTGTGCTGGCATGCGCAAAACGCGGCCCAACCATCGGAGCCTAATGCGTGACATTATGGTGCTGAGCGGTTCACTCGCTTGACCGGCATTTGAAGCTGAATCATCGCCAGACAGGCGCAATGGGAATGTGCAGCCAGTGTCGCATGTGGGGGGATCGCAGGGTAAGCACGGAGCTCGAATCTTGTAGGCGGGTTTTGATAAACAGCAAATATCGACCGATAGGGTCTCTAGTGTGCGGGCAAGTGCTGCCTGTTGGCTAATCTGTAGCAAAGTGCGCACGTTGAGGCATGCCAGTCTTAGCGAGACGCGAGGACTCCAAGAGGAATCGGATGAACTGACGTTGTCCGCTTGGTTGGGCATGGACTTGTCGACTGGATTGGAGCGAAGACCTGCGACTGTGTGTGATTTGAAACTAGAAGACAAGCGACTACTGAAGCAAGCTGTGGGAGGGCCAAGAATTGGGGGATGGAAAATGGGGGGATAAAAGTAAAGTTGGAGCGGGGCGATAAGGATGAAGAGGCGCAAGAAGGGGGATAAGAAGACGGGAAGGCCTGAGCAGTAGCATCCATACCCTATCCACCCTGCTCGATGTAGCAGATAGGGCGCCGTTTATTATCCTCTGGAACGGCCAGAGCATCGAGAAATTGTTTGATGAAGGGTCACCAACCACTGTTGTGATTAAGTTCAGTGCAGTTCACTGGTGTGGACCGTCCCGGGGCCTCTATCCACGAAAACGGTGTACACCAGTCTGACCAGATCCAGGAAAATGCATCACCATCGTCATGATACAAGTTAGCTAAAGGTGGGAAACACCTCAGCTATTGTGCCCCAGTACATTAGAAAAGAAGAGAAAAAAGGCAGCAAAAGCACGCGGGCTGACTCACCGGTAACGAATGGACATCGTTCCGGAAAGTTAACAGTCGGCTATTGTGCCGCAGAAAAGGAGTTATATTGTCCCTAATAAAAGAGATCGTAGTTAGAAGGGGGGGGGAAGACAAAGAAACTCATAACACAAAGCCATTGAGGTAGGTTCCTAGCCGTGTCAACAAGTGTATCCAACCAAATGTGTTCATCATCCTTCGATCCCCATCCAGGGAGCCGAAATGCTCCAACCGAGGCCAACAATGAAATAAGGGCCGTTATTCTTCTTGAACAAATCATCCCTTGGCCACCCCACCTCTTCTTTCATGCGCGCCCCTGTCGCGCAAACAACGCATGTCGCGGAATACGGTGGACTGGCACGCGCAACACGTGGCCCAGCCATCGAATCCTGGTGGGTGAAATAACGGTGCTGAGCGGTTCGCTTCTTCTTCCTGCGCCAAACACAAGGCGTCCAACACTCCCATTGTTAACACGGGGTTCCCATCAGATATGAGCCAAACTGCGAAGTCACCGGTGGTCGAACGTAACTAGCCTCTTTATGTCAGCCGGTCTAATGGGTCTGGTTTCAAAACCGTACAGCAGGGTCGAATATACGGCTGCATGGTAGACTCTACACTGCAAGGAGTGATGTCGCACCGGCGCCATAGGTGATGAATGTTAGCAAAAGCGCCTCGTGTTTTGGCTTTACGGTTTGTAACCTCGTGTTCAATCACAACGGAGCTGATACAACTGTCTTAGTTGAACTTTTGAACGACTTCTAGCTGATCCGCACCAAGGATCAACGCAGGAGGCGGTCCCTGCCAATCTTGGAAGAAAGCTTTGCATCTCGAGGGTGCAAAGCATAGCCCGAAACGGTCGACAGCCAGTGCTAATTTGTCCAGAGCCGCTTGGTGCGTTTGTGAGCTATCACAGATGGGGGCAATATCATCAGCATACTCCAAGTCAAGAAGTCGTTCACCTGGGAGCAGCTCCAATGAACGTGATCTCAATGATTTCGTCAATAGCGAAGTTGAAAAGGAATGGTGACAGCGGGCAGCCTTGTCTCACACTGCTGGAGATACTGAAAAGCGGCGACAGCTTGTCGTAATCCCTTAGTCTGCCCGCATAATATTTACAATTATCGGGCATACCTTTCCTTAGAAGACGGTCCCAAAGAGCATATCGATCCACCGAGTGGAAGGCACCTTTGATATCGAGGAACACAACAACGGTGGACCGCCAATATATGTGACGGTGCTCCAACAATTGACTCAAAGTGAAGATGTGGTCAATGCAGCCATGATGTCGACGAAACCCGGCTTGGTCCTCACGAATCTGGCTTTTACGAGTGACAGTCTGTGAAGGATTACAGAGGTAAGCAATTTGGAGGCGATGGAGATCAGACTGATTCCTCTATGGTTGCCGCATTCCGAACGCGAGCACCGGGACAGTACCGGAGCGGCTCCAATCGCCTGGGACAGTTTCCTGCTTCCATAGTTTCAGTACTAAATCGTGTAAATCATCAACAAGAGCAGGACGCCCGAGGGAGGAAGATCATCTGATTCTGCGGCTTTCTTCGACCTCCAAAGTCCGACCAGGGAAGCCACGTTGGTTCGACAGAAAGTACGGTCAATTGGCTCGGCGGCGACGCGTATTGTGGAATAAATTCCTCGTCTGGCTCGGCCGATAGTTATGAGGCGTACAAAAGGCAGCGGAATCTATGCAATAGCGCAAAAGCGTCGGCAACTCGAAGTGGAGTTTGCAACCACAGCAAAGACGGTCTCCAAGATGTTTGCTTAAGTGAAGCGGGACCTGAGGCCCGCAAACGACGTAGCTGTGTCAGGGGGCACTGACTGACAGCCTGACCTCCAGCACTGAACGTGTGTCCGCTTTGGTAGAACTCTTCGCTTCCGTATTTACAAGTGGGCAAACGCCTAGGCCGAGCTCGACGTGTGCGACCTCTACTGAACTCGAGGGCCTGGATTACGGTGTAAAAGAGGTCCGCAGTCTACTCGCAAGTCTTGACAGCACGAAAACTGTCAGACTCTACGAACTTTACCCGCTAATCTTAAAGTCCTTGTCGGCCATCATCTCGCCTGCCGTGACGGATCTGTTCAACAGATCCCTGTCCGAAGGTGCATTGCCGAACGAGTGGAAATGCTCGGTAATGAAGCCGATTCCAAAAGACGGTGATCCACGCAACGTGGACAATTAGCGGCCGGTTTGTTTCTCCTCTGTTTTGGCGGTGCTCGAGAAGATTGTGAAAAATGTCCCCTCTAGCTGCGGAAGTCGAAAGATCTAACTCCGGCACAGCACGGCTTCATGAAGGACCGCTCGTGCATCACCACCCTGCTGTTGACACGGCAGAAATCGTTGCAAGCGTTGAACCGCGGGAAATCAGCGGGTGTTATCAATATTGATTTCTGTAAAGCTTTTGATAAAGTGAACCATGAAGTCCTGCTCCACAAGCTGAGGACGTTGCAACCCGGTGTTAAAAGAATGGGCACATTTCCAGAATATATGTATTTGAGCAAGTTGGACTACAGGCCTGAAGTTGGACAACCGTACTACGTCAGCCCATGATGCTGAATGTGAACATTGCTCTGGCTATAACGGTGTTCAATACAGAGATCTATAGCGGTTGATCGATGATCCTGGTGGTTGGGTTAGTTAGGATTGTTATAACCACAACACCTCTCCCGAAAAGAAAAACTTTTAGTTGCTTGACATTCCGGAGGGGCTTCTGACACTTGGACTATTGCAACTGCAAGGGAACTGGGACTATTGCTGTCCCTTATTTGGAGCTAGGAATATTTGCTGTAAGCCATTGTTGCTTTCTGCGTCAACTGAAGGCTCTTCGGTATTCTGGCACCTGCCGACTGGAGAGGCAAATGTCGAGTGACTGTCCCGATCATTCATAATTGCCTGAGGACTGCCGGCTGAAAATATAATTGTCGAGTGACGGTCTCGATCATGATTAAGTGCCGAATCTCCACTTGGCTGGACAGATAAGTGTCTGGTGAAATCCAGATCATGTGTAACCGAGCGGCTCCAAATTGCTCACGTTCTTGTGAAAAAATTACATTCCAAGTCAATGTAAAAACACCGTCTTGATCCATCCCATCTCCGTCGCCAAAATGTTGCAACTCGGTGTTAAGAGAAGGGGCACATTTCCAGAATATATGTATTTGAGCAAGTTGGGCTACAGGCCTGAAGTTGGACAACCGTACTACGTCAGCCCATGATGCCGAATGCGAACGCTGCTCTGGCTATAACGG